TCAAGCAAATTAAATGAAGAGGGTTGGATTTATCCAAAATTTTTTTTAGAGATTTTCATATCAACTTCATGCTTTAATTAGCACTTCCAACATCTTCACAACCATAGACTCATTCAACAGAGGAATCATATTCATGTCAAATATTCCATGCAAAGTCCCACTAAATTGAAACAAAAGAATCAAGCAAGGTTTCATGTGACTCACATAATGCAAAGAAATTATCCATCTCATAAGGTGGTGTTTCACTCATCACTCAATAACATTTCAGGCTAAGTGTTTTCTCTCAATCCATGCATTTAGCCTCACCCTACCATAGGCTTGCCCATATTCTCAATCTCCTTTACCTAGACACAATGAATCACCTATCATGAGGGCTTTGTTGGTCACAAATGGGGTTAGGATAGGCTCAAATTTAATCAAGGAGGGTCACAAGATCAAGTGGGTACTCAAGAGGAGGGAGTTCTTTTGAGTGATTTAGTACAACAACTAGAGTGGAATGCCTTAAATGGTGTAGCTTAAGAGGTTCAAGCATTCTTTCACCACATTTTTTTTTAATTTGCCTTATTTGGAAATCCTTTTTCAACTCAAAAACCTTGCTATATTTTTCTTTCTTTCTTTTCTCCTTTTTCATTCATTCAATCATATTTTTGTGATGTCATGGACTTTGACAATCATTTTTTTTTTTACATGTATTATGAACATGTATGTTGTCCACCACCCCAAACTTAAGACATTGCTTGTCCTTAAGCAACTACAAGAATAATCAGCACCCCAAACTTAGTTTCTTACACTCAATCGTGAGGCAACTCAAAAGAAATACCTCTATTAAGGAAATGAAATTATTGTTGTTGACTAATGTTTGGCAAAAGCAAGAAGTGGGGAATAAGGAAATGAAGTGCAAGGGTGGGGGGGAGGGTATGTGTCATCTAGATGAAAAATTGCCTAATGTATATTTAATTAAGAAACAAAGCAAGTTCTAGAAGATGAATGCAAATATACATGTAATATGCACACAAAAAAGAAGAAGAAAGGCCCAATTCACTACCATGGTAAAAGTGATAATAACTTGCAAAATGAAAGTACAATTCACCCGACAAGAAAATATGTTCAAAATGATAGGGACAGTAAATATGTACAAAAATGAGAATGAATAGGAGTTAGATGGGAAATGCAATTAGAGCATAAAAGCAAAATACAAAAGAGAAGTAGATTAAAAGGAAAAGAGAATAATTGAAATGAGGAAATATTTTTGTCTTTTATCTAGTACGGTGCAGGAAAAGTAAGCTACAAATAAATGCAAAATAGAGACAAAGAGTTCACCCCCTTTTTTATAGATGATGTACTCAAAGTTCAGGGGCATAATGATGTTCCTCCTGATGGAACTGAGGGCATCTAAGCAGAGAAAGAAAAGAAAACACGAAAGGTAGACTATGTGGCATCTTCATCAGAGGTGGATGAGGTGGCGTCTTCATCTTCCTCTGCTTCTTCTGCTTCCACTGAGGTACTGGAACTGGGGGCATCTCTGGGTGCATTGGGATTGAATGGAGGCAGGTCATTCTGAACAGCAGCTTGGAGGAAAGGGGCAGGGAAATGGGGAGCATAATAGATCTGGTCTGAAGTCATCCCCAACTTTTTCTTTCAAACCGACTACTGTGAGGTACGCTTTGTTCTTTTTTCCTTATTTTTATCATGGCCGGATCCTTAGAATGGGAAAACTCGTTGTCAGAGTCATCTATGCAGACTAGTGTTGACACTCAACGTGCTGAGAAAACCAAAAGGGGGTAGAATTCGGTCCAGGATCGAGTGGGGGTCATGAAGACGTAGAGATTTGCTTTAGGGAATGCAACGATGAAGCCGAATCATCGAAGTCTACCGATTCTGATTCTTCTGAACCCTTATCAAGCACGAGCCCCCCTAGGAAAAGACCAGTATTTCCCCCCTGTATAGTTTGCGGATACGAGTGGGTACACGGTGAGGTAGCCGCCTACTTCTCTCGGTATAAAAGAAATAAGGTTCTACAATCTTTTGTTGATCATGTTGACATTTCATTGTGGGAGCCATCTGACCTCTACCCCATATCCATTGATCCCTGTCGTGGAGATGAAACCAAAGACCATGAATTTGTTTTTCTAGGGGGTGCCGGAATGGCCGACACCTTATTTGTGTATGAATATATGTTTAGAGAGTTAGGTATAAAATTGCCCTTTGATAACTTCCAAATGGGAGTGTTAAGGGTTTTGAATATAGCGCCGACACAACTCCATCCCAATGGGTGGATGGCTATTCAAGCTTTTAGAGTACTTTGTAAATTTCATTATATAGAACCTAGTGTAGGCTTATTTCTTCATTTTTTCTGTACTTGTCCATCCGACTTAGCAAGATGGATATCCTTGATAAGACAACCAAAATTGCCATTGTTTAAGCCTTATGCTTCGTCTTTTAAAGCTTTTAAAACTGGTTTCTCCAAAGTAACCGTCCATCCCATATGTAGAAATTTTTTTTATAGTGAAAATAATCCTCTTTTTCTCTTCCACTGGACCCGGGTGCCTCGCCGGTATGATTGGATTCCTGAGGACATGTTGTCGGCTAGGGAGTTAGCAGCCTTGGATTATTTAAACTCTCTTCCTTGAGACCTTCCCGCCTGACACATACTTTTAGTATTAAAATCTCCTCAACCTCGCCTGGACATGGATGGTATGTTTCGTCATTGTGGTTTCATTTTTGAATTAAATGATATTGATTTGACTATCTGCTTTTATTGTAGGTTTAATGGCCCAACGTAGTGTTCATGTGCCGACATACCGTAAAACTTTGAAGTCGAGGGCACCTGAAAACACACCCATTGAGGAGCACTGACACCCTCAAATGGATCATATTCCTGTTGCAATCGAGCCCCAACCTCCTCCCCGAGACCTTGTCATTGCAGAGAATCAACCGAAAAAGCGTAAAGACAAGGGCAAGAAGAGAGAAAAAAGCAAGGACTCGAAGAGAGAGAAGAAGAGGAAACACTCCCACTCGGGTAAATCGAGTGGTTCAGATGGGGCCCAACATTAATCTCGGGGTGATCTGGTGTCTGAGGCCGACAGCTCTTCAAATATTGTCTTTCCTCCCTTTTTCTTAACCGACGCCTTCCTCAACCAAGGTGTCCATGCTGGCCGAGTAGTTGCACCTGACTTGCTTTCGGATGCAGGAAAGGAAGCGGTCAACAACCTTGACCTTGAATCTCTGTGGAAATACTTCTCGGAGTTTCAAATCCGAGCTATGATGATGCTCCGAAGGCTAGCTCTGGAGCCGACACGAGAGATGAAGATGGTGTAAAACGAGTACGCTATCTCTCAGCAAGCTCTAGCAGAAAAATGAGGAGATTCGGCTAAATCTAGCTGAAACTAATAAAGCTTTGGAAGCCGAGGTCGTTCAGTACAAAGAACACTATCATATAGTGGACAACCGACTCCAAGCTACAGAGCGAGCACTGAGGGCTAAGGAAGAGGAAATGGAGGCTTTGAGGGCCAAATCTATTGAAATGGAGGAAGCACTGACTGTTGAAAGGCAAAAGGCTGATGCTGAAATGAAAGCCTTTGCCGACAAGTGTTCAGCCCAAGTGGCTATTGAACATGAATCGAGTTTTAACCATGTCGTTCGCCAGTGCTATGGTTTCTGCCAAGTGCCTTTGGACTTTCATTTCGACCTTACCAGAGATTTTTTTGGTGGTAGGTTTTTGCCATATAATGACGTAGATGAGGATCTAGAACCTGACACCGAAGCCCCTCCAAGAGTGAATATAAATTACAATGCTGAAGCCCCTGTTATGGAGGCTATCGGTCCCGACGCCTCTGGTCCAGATGGTGGAGATGAAGGAAACTGAGTTTTTTCATTTTTCTTTTGTATTCATAGGCCGATAGTGCCCAAATTTTGTAATCTTTTTTTGACAATGAAATAGAATTTTTAATTCCTCCTTGTTCCAAATTTTCTTTAGCCGAAGATATTTTTGTTTCATTTCTTGGCCAAATAAGGGTACATGTGACGGTATTGATGAATTCATTCTTAGTCATAGGTAATTGATTCATCCTTAGCCGAGTACTTGAGAATTAATTTTAACGATTCATCCTAAACCGAGTAGGGGTACTTGGGAGGGAATAATTTAATATTTATCCTTGGCCGAGTAGGGGTAATCGGGAGGGAATTAACTCAACCAAGTAGAAATACTTGGGAGGGAATTTTAATAGATTCATCCTTGGCCGAGTAGGGGTACTCGGGAAGGAATTAACTCAACCTTAACCAAGTAGAAATACTTAGGAGAGAATTTTAACAAATTCATCCTTGACCGAGTAGGGGTACTCGGGAGGGAATTAATTAATTCAACCTTGTCCGAAAGGGAATTAATTATTTCAGATGAAGTGCTTAAAAGAAATGCTAATTCATAAAAAACCGTATAGCTGAGAAGAAGTATTTTATTGATGCGGTGCCTCATTAAAAACCTTCCTAGGAAAACCCCTTTTCACTTTCTTTTAAGAGGACAAAACCTAGGAGAGGAAAAGAGTACACCGATTACAAATTACAAACTTTTAACTGTAATAAAGCTTCAAGTGTGTAACATTCCAAGTTCTCGGTATTAGTTTTCCATTCAACGTTTCCAACTTGTATGCTCCATTGTCTAATCTTGCCGCTACCCTAAAGGGGCCTTCCCAGTTAGCTGCCAACTTCCCTTCTCGCCGATCCCTGCGTGCATCTCCGGTTACTCGCCATACTAAGTCATTTTCATAAAATTGTCGTGGATTGATTTTGGAGTTAAATTTTCTAGCCATCATTCTTCTGCTGGCCTCGGTCATAATGGCTGCTTGGTCACGCATCTCATCTATTAAGTCCAAGTTGACGGCCAGAGCCTCCTCATTAGCCGATTCCTCGAAATTCTCCCTCCGAAATGAAGGTTCTCCAATTTCGACCGGCACCATGGCATCAATATCATAGGTAAGCTGAAAAGGAGTTTCCTTTGTTGTGGTTTACAGCATGCACCGATAAGCCCATAGCACCTCGGGCAGCTTCTCTGCCCATTCTCCTTTTGCCGAACCCAATCTTCTTTTTAATTCATGCAAAATTACTTTGTTGGCAGCCTCAGCTTGACCATTAGTCTGAGGGTGCTCCACAGACGTAACCATGTGCTTGATATGAAGCCCTTCCAGAAATTCATTGAATCGCCGATCTGTAAACTGCAATCCGTTGTCTGTTATTAATGCATGAGGGAGACTAAAACGTGTGAAGATGTTTTTCCAGGTAAATTTCTGTACATTATTGGACGTGATAGTGGCAAGGGGTTCGGCTTCAATCCATTTGGTAAAATAATCCACAGCGACAATTAGGAATTTACAATGCTCTTTTGCTAGGGGGAAAGGACCGAGGAGGTCCATACCCCAAATGGCAAAGGGCCAAGGAAAGCTAATAGGGCGGAGGGTGTCGGCATGCTGATGTAATTGTGGACCGTGTTGTTGATAGGGGATACATTTCTTTACAAACATATGGCAATCTTGGGAGAGTGTTGGCCAATAGTACCCAGCTTTAAGTATTTTTGCCGCCATGGTTCGTCCACCCGAATGGGTACCATAGATTCCTTCGTGAATCTTCCTCATGACATAGTTTGCCTGGTTGTCATCGAGGCATTTAAGCATAGGTGTTGAAATCCCTCTTTTGTACAAGTCTTTGCCGAGGAGGAGGTATTTAGCTGCATGCATTCTTATTTTCTTGGCTGAGTCTGAATTATTTAGCAGACTGCCATTAGTAAGGTATTGGATAATGGGGGTCATCCAATTATGAGGCACATTTTCTATGTCCATGCACTCTTGTATGGTGATACTAGGTTGGAGGATTTCTTGATGAATCACGCTTTGTAATTGCCCAGGTTTCCTTTGACTAGCCAGCCTAGCAAGCCTATCGGCTCGTTCGTTCATGTTTCTTGGTACATGTCGGATACATATTTCATCAAATTCAACTTTTATTTTTTTAAATTCTTGATAATATTGGAGCATAACCGAGTCCTTAACCTGGTATATATCATTAACCCGTTCGGTCACAATTTTTGAGTCACTCCAGCCAGTAATGCGTTTAATTCCCATCTCATTCGCTAATCTGAGACCGGCAAGTAAGGCTTCATACTCGGCTTGATTATTGGATGCCTTGAATCCGAAACGAATAGATTGTTCGATAATGACGGTGTTCTGTCCTTCCAATATAACTCCTGCTCCACTCCCTAGTCAGTTTGTTGATCCATCAACGTGTAAATTCCACATGTTTGAATTGGCTTGTTCGTGAGCTGTGAATTCATTAACAAAGTCCGCTAACACCTGAGCTTTAAGAGGGCGTCTGTTTTCAAAGTGGATATCAAATTTTGAGAGCTCAATTGTCCATGCAACCAACCGACCAGCCAACTCCAGTTTTCTCAAAATTTTGGCCACCAGACAATCTGTGCGCACAACCATCCGATGGCTTTAGAAATAATGTTTTAACCGACGGGCTGTATGGAGTAAAGCCAGTACTACCTTCTCTATCAGCTGGTAACGAGATTCAGGATCTTAGAGTGTTCGGCTGATGAAATATACAAGAGCCGGTTCAGGTATTTCTTGAAGTAAAACTAAACTGATGGCGTTATCTGATACGGCCAAATAAATAATCATGTCCTGATCGGGTTTCAGTTTTGTCAACACAGGCGGTGCTGCGAGCATATGCTTGTATTGGATGAAGGTGACCGTACATTCGTTGAACCAAATGAATTTTTGGGATTTCTTTAATAACTCAATGAAAGGTCGAGACCTTTCTACCATTATTGGCAAGAATCTAGCGAGGACTGCAATTCGTCCGGCCAGTCGCTGAACCTCCTTGACATTCCGAGGGCTAGCCATTTCGATGATGGCGTGGCATTTGTCGGGATTAGCCTAGATGCCTCTTTCAGATAACATAAATCCCAAAAACTTACCCCCAGCTACGCCAAATGTGCACTTCTCGAGGTTGAACCTCATACCGTGCTTCCTGGCTTCCCCGAATACCTCCTCCAAATAGGCGAGATGTTGCTCCAATGCGAGGGATTTAATTACCATGTCATCCACATACACCTCCATGCATTTACCCACTTGTTTCTCAAAAATTTTATTCATGAGTCTCTGGTATGTCGCCCCTTCATTCTTCAAACTGAATAGCATCACTCGGTAGCAAAAATTGGCTGAGTTCGTGATGAATGCCATTTTTTCCTCATCTGGGGGTACATTCGTATTTGATTATATCCAGAATAAGCATCCAAAAAACTTAATATCTTGTGACCAGCTGCACCATCTACCAAAGTATCAATGTTTGGTAGGGGGTATGCGTCCTTTCGGCATGCTTTGTTAAGGTCCGTGAAGTCTGTGCACAATTGCCATTTGCCATTAGCTTTTTTAACCATGACCACGTTAGCTAACCAAGTCGAATACTTGACTTCTCGTATGAAGCCAGCCTGTAGAAGCTTACTAGTTTCTTCTTCTATTGCTTTTGCTCTATCACCGCCCATTTTCCTTTTCTTCTGAGCTATCGGTTTAGTCCCCTTATAGACCGATAAATGATGACATAAAAATGTTGGGTCAATGCCAGGCATATCCGAGGCCAACCAAGCAAATAAGTCGGCGTTATTCTGCAAAATTTCTTGAAAAAGTTGTTTTTCTTGTACAGCCAAACCAACCCCTAAATAAGTAACTTCTTCAGGTTTTGATCCAATTTGGAAAGGCTGCTTGTTTTCACTAGGCTCAACTCGATACCCCTCATCCATTCTAGGATCAAGTTCAACATCCAATTCCTCTCCGAACCAAGGGGATACAATATTGACATCTCGGTTACCCCCATGGAAAGGTTTAAGACGTAGGCTTGCAAAGTAGCATTCTCTAGTTGTCTTCTGATCAGCGTGGACTGTAACGATTCGGCCTCTTTCAGATGGAAACTTCATAGCCAAGTACGGAGTAGATACTATGGCCTTCAACTTGTTTAGGGATGGTTTGCCGAGTAGGATATTACACGAGGTATTTGCATGAACTACCAGATACGTGACCTTGATGCGCTTTCCTTCGTGCTCTGATCCAAATGAGGTGTAAAGGTCGATACACCCACGCGTCTTTACCTACTTCCCTGAAAAACTGACTAAGGGTTCTCGGTGTTCTTTAAGTTCCTCTTCTGGTATTCCCAGTTGTTTGCAAGTATTACAGTAGAGTATGTCAGCAGAACTTCCCTGATCAATGAGTGTTTTCTGACTGTGCAGTTGAGAATGTCCACACTGATCACCATGGGGTCATCTTGTACAGGATCCACTCCTTGAAAGTCTTCATCAGTAAATGTAATTAGGGGGATCCGAATCCCACTTCCAAATGAGATATTATTGACTGATCTGACTTGTCTCAAGTGTCTCTTTCTGGCCGAATGGGTATGTCCTCCCCCGGCAAACCCTCCAACTATGGCATTAATGACCCTTTTAGGATACTTTTCACATTCATCGTATCGTCTAGTTGGAGGTTCCCGGGACCTACTCCTCTGTTCGTTCATGTCTATTGTCATATCTCCTTGATGACTCAGGGTTACGGTCCCTTCTTATGTTAGATTGACCGATAGGACTTGTTTGCACAAAATCTTTTAGATATCCTTCCTTGATTAATTCTTCAATCTTATCTTTCAGCTCTGTGCACTCTTCGGTGGTGTGACCCCTGTTTTGATGATAGTGACAAGCCTTGCTTTTGTCTGCCCGAGGATGAATGGGGGAGTCGGGTGAACCAACTGAATGCAGGCCCTTGAAGTGAGGTGGGAAAAATCCTACACCATAAGGAATCATTCTCGGTGTACAAACCGACTTAGGTTGTAAAGACATCCAAATGTTTCCCAGGATCATATGTGCCATCATACTTATCTATTGTTAGGCCTCTCCAATTTTCAAGCAGCTTGGCCTCCAGGATGTGGTGAACGAATGGGCTTCAGCTCGCGAGATCGTCTCGGTCATTTTTTACTTTAGATTGATAAACCTGCTTTGATTTCTCTTGCAACGCCGAAGATTCCCCCTGATCCTGGATGATGGGTGTAGTTTGGGAAGGGATCTGTATTCTTATCTCTTCTCTCAAGTTAACATTTTCCCTTCTCAGAGCCGAAAGCTCCAATTCATCCTTCTCTCGCTCCTTCTTCATCTTCGTCATTTCTGCTTTGAGCTGCCTCAGTATAGCTAAAATATTCTCATATGTTCCTCCTTGCATCACAACTTCAGGTGTTGGTTCATCTGGTGTGACACCCTCCAAATGTTGCCGAGAGGTTCCCCCTTGTTGAGCATGTCCTTCTTGCTGGCTTCTAGTAAGTACCATGATTAATCTGAAATATGAGGCTAATCGTGCCCCACGGTGGGCGCCAAAATGTTCCTCTAAGGGTAACACTGATCTTCAAGTCTCTGATCTGCTATAATGACGTCTCTCTGGTATTCGCTGACGTGGGGAGGGTACCTACAAAAGGCACTCTGATGCTGAAGTCAAGATTCAGTTCTGAGTAATAAATGGTATTCAATAATGAAAAGTTCACATCTACCTGTACTTCTTACCTCCCTTTTATAGGCATTGTAATGGGCTAATGGGTCTGCTGAGTCAGCCTTGACTTTGGCCCTTTTCTTGATTTAAATAATATTTTAATTATTATCCTTAATTAAGTTATTTACCTTTAAATCCTGAAGAGATATTGGTCCACATTGACTGAGTAAGTATTCGGTTTCCTTTTTCTATATGTAGGTCCGAACAGTTCCCTTATCCAGTACAAGTAGTAATGAGTATAATTTTTGCAAAATATAATGCAATAGAGAGTGAAATTCCTTTTTAGAATGTAACCTCATACTATAAGTATATTAATTGGGAACATCCTGATCAAGAGATGACTAAAGAAGATTTTAAAGAAGTTAATTCATGGTTAAAAGAGATTCGTTATTTGTTGGCTTGTTATTTGATGCTAAAGAATATGTAAAAAAAATGCATTAAAACATTACGCGATAGAAATACATCAAAGTTATTTTGTGACTGAATTTAACCAACATGTTTGTATATGAAGTGCTTGAATCATAGCTTTGATTGTCCATGGAGAGTGAGGGCTTTATTGTTGAAGAATTCAAACAAGTAGAAAATTATTAAGTGGGATGGTTTGCATACATGTGTCAATGTTAGAATTTATCAAAATATTAAAAAGTTATATTCAGATTTAATTTGTTCATACATTCTTGGTAAGATAAATCTTTAACATATTTTAATAATTTTATGATATATTATGTATATGATTAATTTTATTTTAACTAAACTATTTTAATTTTACGTAGGCATTGTGAATGAAAAACTCTCAGTACATACTTCATTGATATAAGAGAGGATAAACGCTCAATTTTAATACAAAATTTCATATAAAAAAGCTTGGAAGGCGAAGCAAAAAGTCTTTGTTAGTGTTTTTGGTAACTGGAATGAATCATATACTACCTTGCCACGTTGGTTAGAATACATGCAATTACATGCTCCTAGATTTGTTTATAAATTGAAATCAAAGAGTACATGGTTGATCATGAAGTATATAACAGATTTAAAGTATTTGAACGATTGTGCTGGTCATTTAAACAATGTCATGAAGCTTTTAAATTTTGTAAACCTATATCACAAATAGATGTGACATTTTTATTGCTAAATATTGGTACACATTGCTCATTGCAACAACTCAAGATGAAAATAATTGTGTTCTTCGAGTAGCTTTTGCAATTATTGAAGGAGAAATGTTGTCAGCATGAGAATGATTTTTTACAATGATTCATTTGCATATTAGTGATAAATCGGGAATTTGTTTGATATCAAATTAGTATCAAAGTATAAAAGGAACAGTGTCAAATCCACACATTAGGTGGCAACCTCCAAATACGTATCATGTATATTACATTCATTATATTAATAGTAACTTCAATCATCAATTTAAAAATATAGCGTTGAAGAAAGACCTAATCAAATTAGATATATCTTGTATTTATGTATCATTTATATTATTAGGGATAATTGAATGTTAAGACATGCATGACTAATGTTTCTAATGCTTTCATTGTAGGTTATACACTATTGAAAGTAATATTTCAACAAAAATTAATAATATTTTGTAACGAATCTGAAGACATACAAAGGTGAATTTATTGCATATCAAAGGAGAAATAAGCATTGTCTTATGATGAGAAAAGACGATATTATGGACACATGACCATGAATCTTTTAGGAGCAATTAATAAGGTTTTGAAAAGTGCTAGAAACCTAGCCATAACTACACTTGTAAAAGCCATATATGGATGTTTGGTTGAATATTTTGTAAAGTGTGGAGAAGAAACTATTTCTGACAATAGAAGCATGTTTTGTCATAAAGTAATCATGCAAATATAAAAAAAACAACACGATGCTTTGCCACACCAAGTTTGTCGGTATGACATACAAAAAACATGTTTTGAGGTTGAAGAAATGTTTAATCCAATAACACAACAGGGTGCTCACAAATGGACAATTATATTGTTTAGAAGATTTTGTGAATGTGGAAGATCTCAAGCATACTAATTTCCTTGCTCGCATGTAATAGCTACATGTACTATTGTGAGTATTAATTTTTGGCAATATGTTGACACAGTTAATCCAATGCAATATGTTGTAAATGCATATTTACCACATTGATACCCTCTCGCGAATGAATGTAACATCCTTACAAATAGTGAATGAAAGTTGGTGTCTGATGATGAAAGAGAAAGAGGTAAGGGGTGACCAATTCAACTTTTATTAAAAATGAAATGGACTACGTTGGTCACAAACCAAACATAGATATAGGAATTGTAACCATGTTGGTCATAACTGACGTCATCGTCCTCAACAAAATCATATTAGTCAAATGTAATGCAAATGTTTTTAACCATGTAATAGTTGGTAGTAAATTATGACCCATTTAAAGTGTTTTAATTTATAATGCAAGTGTTATTAAACATGAAATTAATGATTATAAAGGAAAGTGATACCTTGTCGGATTAAAACAAACATATGAATCATACAATATCTACTAAAATAAAGAAGTGTATAACTAGAAAATGCATACATCTTATAAGTATAAAAAAGTAAAACAAATAATTACATATAAAGTAGTCATTGTTGGTCCCCCTCATGGTCCTAATGATCATGATATGATGAAGTCAAGATGTGTTGCCTAGGTCTATCCTGAGCTCCTCAACAAGGATTTTGATGAACATTTGGACCTCTTATATCTGCAGCGGCATCAAAGTTAGCACTCAGATCAATGCCCAACTCAAAGAGTTGCATGAATGATGGTACATGCCCAGCTTGAAGGTATAAGGCAATAGGGGTCAAAAGGGAATGTTCCTCGTGAGGAGGTGTCGTGAAAAAAAAAATCAAGTTGTGGGCTGTAATCATCTGTCCCTATAAACGATGAAATGGGGGATTGTGATGGCTGTTAAGTGCCCTTGGATGAATGGAAATAAGTAAGGCCAAAGGTCATATGAGATGAGTGCAAAGAGAACTATGATGGTACAAGAAATGTACCATCGGAACACTTTGGCATAGTCAGCATGTGCCACTCTATTGCCTGCACTTGTCTTTGTTGACATCCCAAACCTTTTCCCTCCCTTCATTGTGTCGCCTAGTCTATATATAGATCTAGATCTATAGGATTATCACACTACATTGGAGGATTTGAAGATGAAACAAGTTTTAATATGAAGTTTTGCTCCTTCTTCAATAACAACATTGTTTCAGAAAGGTCCTTTAATTCATCAAAGGTAAAAGAATCCTGCCCATTAGTGCGCAAGTAATGCACTCTCTTAAGTGCATCACCTTGAAATAATAAATATGTAAACACTAGTTATTTTATATATTCAATAAAAATAAACACAAAGGGAATATACAAGAATTTACCATCAAGGCTGCAATAGTTGTATCTCTAGTCATCCAACGACGAATGTGATTCATGTACCATTGCATGTAATCTGAATTTGAACTCAATAAACCATATTAAGGCTCATTAGTCATCACCAAGTCTAATCTACTCTCCTAAATTTTCTACATAGCACTGAACTTGACAAACCAATTTTTCCTAGTTTTCCCTCTTAGGGTGAGGTCATGTAATTGGTCAGGCTGGTAAGGAGTCCTCGATATGTGTTAAACCATACCAAACTCACGCATCACTTGATTAGATTGGTGTCATTAACAAACATGAAAATATATCAGTAATACCAACCCTCCATAAGTCCATATTATATCTACAGATAGGGGACAAAATGTTTATGAACTCCACATATGACACCTATACAAAAATTTATATAATGACATTAAAATATGAAGTTAATAAAACATGTACTTAACAGTGTAATATTATATAATAATTTAAAATAAAAACAATTTTGGCAAAAAATTAAGTAGTACTTCATCATTTGTTAGACATATATATATATATATATATATATATATATATATATATGAAGTATTAGACATCCTTTTTTTCTCTTCCTCGTAACATGTGATAACCACTTGCAAATAATGTTTTAATACAAACATAAGTATTAGACAACAATATTATATGTTATAAGCATCAAACTCTAGTCTGAAACATAGGTTGTCTTCAACAATTTGCACCTAATCATCTCTAGTGGTGCTATAACCAATCTCCCATCTATGCATAGGCCTAACAAGATAGCAACATCTTGAAGAGTAATCGCACACTCTCTAAGGAGCAAATGCAAGGTATGCATCTCAGGCCTCCACCTTTCAACCAATGTAGGGATCAATCCTATGTTCAGGGAAAGCTGACATACGTTAACCACTCTAATAAAATCAGCCAATTCAAGATGTAGAACAATCTCTTGAGAAATACCCTCCAATCCATCCAGAATAAATTGACTCTTCCTAACATTTAATATCGGATGATGACATCCATTCTAAATATGTTCAAAGACATAAATACTCTAAAATAGAAAAAATGATAAATCTTTTAGCCTGGAATTAATAACTCTACTTTGTCATGAAGACGATGTCATCTATGCAAAAAAATAAAAATAAAGAAACTTATTTTTATATTTAATTTATTTGTAAGTATTTATATTACATACTATATATACAAATTATTATTATGACGTTCTTAATTAAGACAATTAAATTGTCAATATAAGTAAACATATAAATGTCAACTTAATTAAAATATTTTTTATATTCACATACAAATTATTATTAATCTTAATTAAGAAAATCAAAATTTCTAACATAATTATTAATACAAATATCAACTTAATCATAATACTTTATGTTTTTACATACAAAATATTATTACATCATAATGACAAAAATTCAAATTTACAATTCAATTATTTATACAAATATCAACAATTAATAAAATATTTTTTATATTTACATACAAAATATTCTTACATCTTAATTAAAAATTACTAATATAATTTTTAATACAAAATTCAACTTAATTAAAATATTTTATATATTTATATACAAATTTTTATTGCATCTTTATTAAAAAATATATATTTTTAGCATAATTATTAATACAAATATCAACTTAATTAAAATATTTTTTATATTTGCATACAAATTCTTATTACATCTTAATTAATAAAATTAATATAAAATAATGTTACATAAAATATATTTATTGTATTATTAGCTACACATAAATAAAATTTCATATAAATTATTTTATTATTTTCATTTTAAATGTTTAAAATTTATAAATACATAGACTACATAAAAATCATTATTATATATTAATTAACAAATTAATTTTAACATAAATATTAAATTACAATATTTACAATTTACATATCATACTTAAATAAATAATAAATGTTTGTAAAAAGATTATTATAATTAAAATAAATATAACTTATTATCATTATACAATTTTTTAGTCAACTATATTTTTATTATTCTTTAATTTTAAAAAAATATAAAAGTGTAATATGCAACATCATACTAATAATATTACACAAAAAAACAACTAAAAAAATCATTAAATTCTTTTTTGTCTCACAACTAATTACAAACTACATTTTAGTAAACTATATTACAACCTAATTTTTATTAATAATTTTCCTAAATATAAACATAAACTAATGTTAAAATATTAAAAATTAACAAAATAAATTTTACTAATTTCTGTTGCAATTGTTTCACCATTCACCAATCACGTGATTACTTGTACCAGTTTACAATAAATTATAAAATTATTATTTTTTTAATTTATCATATATTTAAAATAATAAATAAAATATACAAGAATATATAAAATGATTAATACTTCAAATAAAAGTTTAATAATTAAGAAAATTTAACTTTTAAATCCTTCGTGCATAGAACTTTAAGAGAGAAAAATGGAAGAAAGAAAGATATGAGTGAGAGGAAGAAGATGAAGAAAGAAAGAGAGAAAAGAGAAAGGGAAAAGAAGTTGAGGAAGGTTATTGTTTGGCCCAACAAGTGACCTATAAATTTTACAAAAAGTGTAGTAAATGTTCTTTTTGCCACAAATACCATGAAACCTTTGTGATATTGTTACATATTAACAAAATTTCTTGGTATTTTATTTTGAGTTTATTATTATTTTTTAACTTTTACATTTTTTATGATACACATATATATAATGTCACGTGTCATAATCACTAAAGTTGCTCTACACTGATGATAAAACTTTATTTGATTTTTGTGAATGTTGTAACAAAACTTTTGGATCAGACACATGGTTAAACTTACTCTAAATAGATAAATAGTTAAAAAAATATAATAAATTGAGAATTTATTTTTTAAATTACATAATTTAAATAAAAAATCAAGAAGAAAAGTGAAGATTAATTATTGTCATTGTTTAGACAAATTTAGTGTGCTCTATTTTTTAACATGATTTATTTAAACAAATCTTAATTTTTTAAGTAAAAATAAATTAAATTATAATATTTGTGCTAAAATTAGAGATATTTGAATCTCTTTTATATTGAATTGATTATCTTTTGATCTATTATTAAAATATAAATCACATTATTATAATATTGTATTACTATATAGGTCAATTTGATAATTTTGTTAGAAAATATGAAATGGACCAATTTCACTATACTCTGAGAAAGATTAATTTTTAAAATATTTTTTAAACTATTTTTATATATTTAGTATTTGTACATTGTACATGTATTATAAAATTTATATTTTTAAAATTTTAAATATGTTACACAGTTAATTTATAGATTTAAAAAGAATAAATAGTTTATCATATTAAAAAAAACTAAATTAAAGATGTAATTTTTAAATCAAGAAAATTATTTAAATTCTAATAAAATTAAATTCAAAAATATTTTTTTCAAGAATGTGCTGTTTAAAATATAAGAATTAATTAATATTACGATAATGTCAAAATTGAATATGTTTTTAAAATTTAAAAAATTGATACAATATATAAAGATTTATAATTTAAAATTAAAATATTTAATTAAATTTAACTTAAAAATTGAATAATAAATAAAAAAGCCATGAAACATAATAAAATTAAATAATAGATATAAGAGAAGTCTGGAGTTGGAAAAACCTGACATATTCGATTTTACTTCTTACTTTAAATTTTTTTTAAAAAATTCTTCAGTTGTAATAAATAGAAAAAAAATAAAAGAAATGAAAAAGAGTTTTTGCAAGAGACACAGAACGAATTGAAAAATCCCGCCAATGCGAAGTGCCGTAGATTTTCGAAGATTGGTCCTCTTTTCTTGTCCTTCTCTTTCTCTTCCTCTTCTCTTCTCTTCTCTTCTCTTCAGATTCGTAGGAATAGGATTATGATATCTCTGTCTCAATCGTTGCGTTTTGTTCCAAATCTCATTTTCTAGGGTTTTCTTTTGTATTGCTGCTGCCACTCAACATTTCAGTAACCATCCGCATTTCTTTTCCCGTTGCCGATGCCGAAATTTAGCTGAGGTTCGTCAAAGCCTTTTCTCATTGGTGCGTATTATTATATCAAATCGCTGAAAGTTTTTAATCGCATTTAATTTTGTATTCTGAATGTGCAGGGAATGTGTTGCTTGATTACTGCTACAATGAGGGAAAGGTGCGTAACTCTTAATGTTTTTCCATCTCTGCGATTCATCGTTTATAGTTAATCGCTAATAAGGTTTGGAATGTTCACAGTCAAGCCAAATCAACAAAGGGTCTTAAATGTGATGATAAAACTCCACAGGTCAATTGGTTACTTCACTCCAATGCTCACGAGAATTTCTCGTGTCAAGCCAAGTTTTTGCGCTCCAATTTTCTCTTCTCTATCCCATCTAAGAAGCCTCGCAATGAAGAACCAACTGCTCCAACTGGCAGGTATTCAATTATCTCTTCCTATTGTTTTGGTACGAATACAATATGATGGTTTTTTTTAGTCTTAGTTACGTTGCTACTTTGGTGAGAGTTCCTTGTCAAAAATAGTTTTTAGACCACGCGAAATAGTCTTATTAGAAACATACCCAACTTAACTCACTCTCAAAGGAGGATTGTCCAAACTTTATAAGGAGTATCTTGATCCTATTCGTAGTCCATATAGTACATTTTATCAAGTCTTTTTGCTTATAATGATTTGCAATCATTTGATTTGGTCATTCGGCATTGAAGCTTCATTGTTTTTGTAAGTATACAGTTCTGGTTCAGGGAAGACAATTTCATTCGTAGTTGCTACTTAAGCATTTGTCTGTCTAAAGTTTCATTTGCTTCAATGGACAATTCTTGCTTCTCTATGACAGTAGCATAACATGGTAGATGATGATTTAAACCTGTTTCAGTTCAAAGTTACTATTTTCGATTACTGTATTTTTAGCCCATTTTTTACTAGTCAGATAAGAACAGGAATAATATTTTGAAGGATGTTCTGTTTCTCTTGTCAACTGCCACCATCCTATTACTGTGGAACTTGCTATACTAGATTAATATATGGATTTCAGCAAATTTTAACTTGCTCTTTACTGCATTCATTCTTTCAGGTTTGTTGCTCAACAAGGTCAAAATTCTCAGAGAGTACAATTTGAGAAGGTATACTAGTATAAATGCTATGTGAAAGCAAGTAATTTTTTATGTCATCACTTTGTTCTCTTAAGATAACACAATTTGCAGTTTATTGGAATTTCACTCTGTCATTTTATTGGTTATCATGTTTCTTTGAATCAATATCTTTTTATCTGGCAATTTATGCATGAATAAGTGTAGTTTGTCTTCTCTTTCTCAAGGTTTTTGTCCCTTATAATCTAATTATTACTCTAGCTGAACTTAAGCATTTATTTATGATCTTTTGGTTCTGAAACACTTGAATCAATGTAATTGTTCTTACTTCAGAGTTGAAACATCTATAATTTGGCAATCACTTCTGTTGAAACATTTCCCAATAGGCTTGGCATGCTCTTTCAAGTCTACAGAATTCTGGTAGGAACTATGTTCAACCTGGGAAAACTATCAAGGTTACTCCTCAGTGTTGTGAAGACAGGAGAACAAATTCCTTCCAAGGAAGTTATGAGAATGATAAGCTCAGGGAATCTGATGTCACCACAACTCCAATTGTTATCAATCACAGTTCTCGTGTTTCGGCTGGTTCAGTTAACAATCATAGCAAGTACACAGGCCAAATCAATGAGTCTACAAAATGTATGGCTGTTGATATTGATGATGATGACATACTTGAGGTAATTTTATTTAGTACGCTTTGGTTAACTGCTTACATCCATGTAGGTGCTGATTTCTCTCTTTTTTTATCCTGTTTTTGACTCTCTAAGAACATTGATGTTGACCAAATTGTGGAGAAATATCAGTCAACATGCACTCCCCAACCACCAATATCCAAGCTTCCACCTCTAACACCAACTGTAGATAAAGACAATTTTGATAGACAGGGAAATAATGTTTTGCCACCAGAGCTCTTTGTAGATTGCATCCATGGTTACAAGGTATTTTGATCAGACATATTTTTATTCTTTAATGAGTTATTAATGTTCATTTGTCTGCTAGATATGCATAATCCTGAAACTGGATGCAGTTAGGGCTTTGCCCTGAAGCAGCAAGTCATTTGCAGGAATTGAAGGATGATCTGATTGCTATATCTAATGAACTGCTTGACAATGGTGACAACCTCAGTTCTACACAGATAGCAAAGCTTCGCCATGATAGGTGTGTCTTTCCCATGGAATTATATCCTGTTTGTAACATTTTTGTTTTCAATATAAGCCACATACTTGGAAAAAGCTCAAGGGCTTCATCATTGTTTTTTTTTTTTTCTCTTTCTTTTATGTAATAATTATGCCACACCATTATACCACAAAAAAATTTCTGCAGCATATTCCTCTTTAACTGAATAGAATTTATGTTGAAAATATCCGTTGCTAATGCTAGGTCACAGCTGAATAACCAAATTCGGCATCTTGAAAAATATCTTCAGTCCAGTAATCTTAATGAGGAAAGGCAGAAGTCTCATTTTTCTGCTTCCACAGCACCACCTACATCTTTTGTGTATGAAACACCTCAGCAAACTGTCCTCTGTGATGGACCAAAGAGATATGATGCTCAGGCTTGTATGGGTAATGGGACACCTGGGTCATTGTTTCAGTCCCTTCCATCCTTTTCTGTAGATAAGTATAGCATGTCAACAGGTCCAGTGGAGAGAGAAGCATTCATCCCAAAGATTATTGAAGTTAATTACATTGAAGGCTCTGGAGATAAACGATGGAGCAGACAGGATTTTGCTTGGACAAAAAAGTTAGAGGTACTTAACTCTAACTGAATTATTGTCATTTTCCAGTGAATGTAACTCATTATCATCTTTATAATTTTTTTCTTTTCTTACTTTTAGGTTAATAATAAAAAGGTATTTGGAAATCACTCATTTCGCCCCAATCAAAGAGAGGTCATTAATGCCACAATGAGTGGATGTGATGTTTTTGTTTTGATGCCCACTGGTGGTGGAAAGAGTCTGACCTATCAGGTAATATGATTTTCCAAGAGATCCTTTGAGTTATGGCCTCTTCCCTTTCTTACTTACAAGTAGACTTGAGATACCATTTAACAGGTTTTAGTGACGGATCATTTGTCTAGATTTTACTGTGATCTTACTACTTTGGACCAACTTGTGTTGCAGCTACCAGCCCTTATTTGTCCTGGTATAACATTAGTAATTTCTCCCCTTGTGTCCCTTATTCAAGATCAAATAATGCACTTATTGCAGGTATTGCTAATTTTTAACTACATGCTTTCCTTTTCCATCATGTGTTTTTCTGATAGATGTATGCTTATTTGCTCCTGTTGGATTGCCATATAGGCAAATATACCTGCTGCTTACTTAAGTGCCAATATGGAATGGACAGAGCAGCAGGAGATTCTCCGAGAACTTAATTCTGACTACTGTAAATACAAGTTGTTATATGTAACACCTGAGAAGGTTGCCAAGTGAGTGCCATTATTGATGACTCATCTACTCTTTGAAACATCTCTTTCTTGATATACCCATTTTCTTCACTTGAGAACTATGTACTTCATTCCCATAATGTTCTTTGTTATTTTTTTGACTGCAGAAGTGATGTTCTTCTGCGACACTTGGAGAGTTTACATGTTCGTGAGTTACTTGCAAGGATTGTAATTGATGAGGCTCACTGTGTGAGCCAATGGGGACATGATTTTAGACCAGATTATCAGGTTTTGAGCTCTTATACTCTTCAAATTGGTGCAAATCACATGATAATATATTGTTTAAATTTTAATTGATGCTGCTAATTTGCCCAGGGACTTGGTATATTGAAACAGAAATTCCCAAATACTCCTGTTTTAGCTTTAACAGCCACAGCAACAGCTAGTGTAAAAGAAGATGTTGTGCAAGCACTTGGTCTTGTTAACTGCATTGTTTTTCGGCAAAGTTTTAATCGGCCAAACTTATGGTGTGTTAAACAAAGACCAACTTCTTACTAAACCTTGAATGGATGAATCATGTTCATTTTGAACATTGCAGGTATTCTGTTATCCCAAAGACCAGAAAGTGTTTGGAAGACATTGACAAATTTATTAGGGAAAATCATTTTGATGAATGTGGCATTATCTATTGTCTTTCACGAATGGACTGTGAAAAGGTTGCTGAAAAATTACAGGTTAGTCTACTCATTAGTTTTTATTTGTATGTTTTTGACTTGAGAGTTTGATGTGATGAATTGGCTGAGGTTTTCTAGTGTGTCCTTGCTTTTCTTTCTTTTTTTCATTTTCATCATGCTTCTTGTTAAGGGCACTCTTGTGACCTTCCTGCTCATGGAGCCAAGTTTTAACTATCTGACTGCATTTTTTATAAATGAAAAGTAGATCTAAAAGTCAACATCTAATAGTTTTGCTTGAGAATAAAATAACTAGTAATATTCGTTTTTCAGGAATGTGGGCATAAATGTGCATTTTATCATGGTAGTATGGATCCTGCTCAACGTACCTTTGTTCAAAAGCAGTGGAGCAAAGATGAGATCAATATAATTTGTGCTACAGTGGCATTTGGAATGGGTAGATTTGCATCCTTGCTACTGTTTATTGCATTGATTAATTGAATGAAATCATATTTTAAAGTTGGTATTTCAGGTATTAACAAACCAGATGTCCGCTTTGTAATCCATCATTCCCTCCCAAAATCTATTGAAGGCTATCATCAGGTACCGGCAGAACAGCAAAATCTGCTTGGTATAGGTTTTGGTTGTTGGCTTACATGTATGATTATTATTTTCCTTTCAGGAATGTGGACGAGCTGGTAGAGACGGTCAACGTTCATCCTGTGTATTATATTATAACTATAGTGATTATGTTAGTATCATTTTTAACTCTTCTACTTGAATATAAATTAGTTTGTATGTTGTATCGATTAACAAGTGATTGAGTTTTCTTTCATCTTTTACTGCTTGTATCATCTAACTATATCTCATATTTATAGATACGAGTTAAGCATATGTTAAGTCAAGGAGCAATAGAGCAAAGTTCCATCACATCTGGATATAACCGTTCAAATATGACAAATTCAGGAAGGATACTGGAAACAAACACTGTAAACCTTTTGCGAATGGTACCTTTTTTTTGGAACACTTTGAGATTCTATTTTGTGTTGCGATTGTTATTAGTACTAAATCTTTGTCTTCAACTGTCTCAGGTCAGTTATTGTGAAAATGATGTTGATTGTCGGCGCCTTCTGCAGCTTGCTCATTTTGGGGAGAAGTTCAATTCTTCAACTTGTCAGAAAACATGTGATAATTGCTTGAAGATCACAAGTTTCATTGAGAAGGATGTCACTGAGATTGCTAAGCAATTGGTTGGGAAGCAATTTCTATTCATATATTTGTTCATCCCTCCACTTTATGAAATTCTATTCATTGTAGTATTCAAGTCCTCTTGTTCTCAATTACATTTGGTTGTCATCTGTTTAGGTTGAACTTGTTAAGCTAACGGGACAGGTGGTCTCATCATCTCATATATTAGAAGTGTATCGTGGTTCCTTGAGCCAGATGGTATGTCAATAAGCATTTACTTGTTTTTTTTTTTTTTTTTTTTCATTCTTTGCAATGTGTTATTGATCTTAATTTCCATTAATTATCTTCTTAATCTTGTACTTTTAACATCAAAATAAGGTCAAGAGACACCGGCATGAGATTCTGAGCCTTCATGGTGCTGGGAAGCATCTAGCTAAAGGTGAGGCTTCCCGTGTATTGCATCATCTTGTTGTTGAGGATTTTCTTGTGGAGGAGGTAAAGAAAAGTGATATTTATGGATCGGTATCATCAATATTGAAGGTATCAATGACTTAAAATCTACCTTAATATATATGTATACTGTAATTTTATTGAAAGGTCTAATATATGCTCATTGTACTTCAAATGAGTGATATGGCTTAATGTGACTTTATGAGATTCTAATAACTTAAAAGTTTTCTAATGTGATGAATTGTTTTTTAGGTAAACAATCCCAAGGTCCATAATCTGTTTGCCGGGCAGAGAATTATATTGAGGTTTGTCAGTCTCACTAAGCTGTTTCTTGCTTAAATTTGTGAATTAGAAGGGTAATTCTTATTGATTGAACAGCATTGCATGGAAATTGCTTCTTCTTTTGTATGTGAGGACTTTCATACATATGATATCAGTTGTCGGAGTTACGTGTTTAACTGATGCTGCTAGCCTCAGATATTTTTAACTTGACATCAGTTGCCCTTAAATTATTGTCTCCACCTTCTCTGTCCTCAAGTTCCCAATACGTGTATATTTTTTCTCTGTTCATATTTTACTCAGTGGCATCTTTAACCGTTATAGATTCCCATCCTCTGCAAAGGCAACAAAGCCAGGGAAATCTGATGTAACTCCAGCTAAAGGTTCTCTGACATCTGGGAAGCTTAATCTTCCAGTAATTGACATTCCTGCCCAGCCTCAAACTGAAGTGGATTTGGTATGAAATGGGTTGTTTTTCGGTTCATATGTTTTCTTGCTGTTTTGAATAATATTTAACATAAATCTACTTCAGAATCTTTCAGCTAAGTTATACACTGCTCTGCGGATGTTGCGGACAACTCTTGTTAGAGAAGCTGGAGAGGGTGTTATGGCTTACCACATATTTGGGTTGGTTATTGGACATTTTCATTTTCATTGTTATCCAAATAAAATTTTCTCCATTTAGGATTCAAGTACACTTTGTTGTTATGGATTATAAAGAATGCAATTGAAAATTAAAATTTGCATGGAAATCCATTTCTGCTTTATTACATGACATGGATTAGGGTGTGTGTGTGTTACACTTGTATATGCATCTGATACGCTGCTGTTTCTGTTTAGTAATGCTACATTGCAGCAGATCAGTAAGAGAGTGCCAAGAACAAAGGAAGAACTCCTTGATATCAATGGCATTAGCAAGTAAGTTTATTCTCGGAAGAGTCAAGTGTCCTGGTTTATGAACTAGCTTTAAATAACGTTTTGGTTTAACACAGGACTAAGGTAAGCAAGTACGGGGATCGGTTACTTGAAACCATTGAAAATACCATAAATGAATATTACAAGTCGGACAAAAACAGCAGCAGCAGCAGCAAAGGCAGTGCTGATTCTACCAAAAGGAGGCGAGAGACAAATGGAGTCCCAGATGAAAATGCTGATGATCGTGATGCCTTCACCACAAGTACAGGTCGTTCAAAGAAAAGGACCGTAAAGAGACAAAATAGAAAAGCTGAGATATATGATTCTGCGGAAGAAGATTATTTGCATGGATGCCTTGATGAAGACTTAGATTTGGACGTCAGAGAAATTGGTGCATTAGATAAAACAACTTGTAAAAATGAAGCAGGAAGAGTGCTACCACAATGGACAGCATCTTGAAATGTTATACGAGGATCATGTTGTATATGCCCCTTTCAGATATGTATGCTGTCATAGGCTTTTGGCGGATCAAACTCGCAGTAATTTATTCCATCGATCAGCACCATGCTGCTGTTTCAGTTACTTAGCCATATATGTACATATATGTACATATGCGAGGGTGCGGGTCCACTTGGCCGCGTGGTTCGATGAGATAAAAAAACACGGCTGTCTTGCAAAATCACTTCGTTTAGAGTGTGCCGTATGGCAATGCTTTTAAGGAATTTCTGCTTGGCTATTGGCTGTTTGTAATTTGATTTTGATGTGTTATTTGCAGAGAATATATTAAATTACTGATAAGATTCTTAAAAGATGAGGAAAAGGAAACTTGTAGGACCAATCATACATATTAGCAATTTAATCATCAATAGTTCAGACACATATACATTTTGTTCGTTACATCAAAAGAATTCCTCTACAAACAATATCACTTATCTCTACAGAAATCTAAGATACACAGCTTACAACTTACACACACTTCTATGTACAAACGTGTGCATTTATTATTATTGTTATTATTATTAATGTACTTGCCAAATATATCACATGTTATCAGTCAAATATTTATACCATGGCCCATGAACACTAACCGAAATAGTGGCTGCCACAATCAAAACAACAGCAGTTTCCACTACCCTTTGAGTCAGAACACCAGCCCCAACTTTCATGAGAGCCATTTCCGCTAATTTCCTCCCCCCATGGGCCCCACTTCCTCCAAGCACAACTCCACGCAAAGCTGAATAGACAGCATTAAACACCCTCTCAAAAACAGCATCCCCAGCTTGTAAGCTCTTCCCTAGCATCCTGGCAGCAACTGCTCTTCTTGACTGAAGTTTTCCTGTATCTTCACCATCAACTGTGGGCAAATTGCAGATCACTTGCACAATATTTTCAGTATCAGCATCTTCAACACGGTCTAAGAGATCCAAGAGTTGTGCAGCACACTTGGACACTAAGTTCTCCATATCTGCTGGGCTAGCTGCCACCTTTTCACTCAGGAGAATCTGGCGGTGAATGAGAACACTGCAATTCCCCACCAAAAAAAAAGAATTATTGTAAGTAGCGATTAATCCAGAACCGTCTCCAGCATAAATTATTCAGTTAAGATGGTGTGATAACCTCTTGACACAAATATCATACTATTTACCTCGCAGAAATCACAATAATCTTCTGAATTTGAGCCTGAATGGACCTCAGCCTTGTGAAGTTGAGAGATAAAGTTTCTGGTAAATCATCTTGTGTCAGACCAGAAATTCCACTTACTAATTTTAGCAAACCAAGCCTCACAACTAGATCAACTTGTTCTCCATTGCATTCTGGCTGCTGATTACCTGATTCAACAACACAAAAGTGGGTTCATCTAAGTCTTTGCTTCAGTAGGCGTAATATAGCAAACTGAATATAGGGAATTGAAGTTTTTTTTCAATTTAGAACCTTTAGCATTTGCACCATCAGGAGAAGAGGCCATTGGACTGCCAGTTGATTTGAGCAGAATATTTCCTCCTGTTCTAAGAGTAGTTGAAGGAAGCCGTTCTTGGGATGAATTAGAAGCCAATGCTGATGAGGAGCTCACGTGTTCTACCCATTCCTGATCTTTGCAATTCCAAACAGATGAAACCCATCTCAAAGTTGAAGGCAGAGAGGTACAGGCATCAGATGGAGATCCATATTTGTTAGCAAAGGCATTCTTGAGGTAGTCCAAACCCGCAGACCCCTTAACCAAGGACTCCATTATTCTTACACGTGCTTTGCTTATCTCTTTCTTAAGAATCTGTCATAAGAATTTATCATGTCATATAATTTAAAACCAAAGCAAAATGAATATTTAAACAAGCTAAAAGATGTCCATGCTGAAACAGTATCCTCCAACTAAGGTTTGTGCTGACAGCAAATCATAATAAGATTTTGTACCTATTTCTATGGCTAATAAATTACAACACATCTCGGGTCATTCAGGGCATTACACCTAACAACTACATTTGAAAGTAGTGGTATTCAAGTGCACTCAGAGAATGTGTTACCTCAGAAGCATCCACAAACCACAATTCATAATTAATAAGCAAAAGGAGAAAACCATGAACATATTAATCCAAGTAAGTTATAACTATAGATAAGTAAAAGGCACAAAATAAAGTAAAAGTAAGCAAACACACCTGAATCTCTTCAAAGACAAATTGCAAACCCTTCACCAAGGCTACAACACATGAATTGTTTGACTCATCTCTAGATTGACATATTTCACTCAACTCATTAAATAATTTCTTGTGGGCAGCCTTCATTATCTCCTCATTAGCTGGAGATGAGAGCTTCTGCAAATTGACTAGTGAAAACTCAAGAATTTTTCCAAGGTAATCCACATCCAGATTACCTGATTTCAGCACCTTCAGATAAACAGAAGAAATATATCAGAATAGCAGAAATTATAGTCAGGTATATGCCAATGATCCATCTAATAGTCATCGCAGGCTGCAAGAAGAGAATATAGCAGGCTACCTGAGAAAGAATTTCTAAATCAATGGTATCAAAAATATTCTCCTTCCAGCTTTTTGGAGCCATCTCACAAATTTCATCCCTAACCTCTCCCATGAGTTGAACAATCCGGTCATAGTTGGGCTGCTCCTGCTTAACAGATTCCATTATACCATCCCAGAAGGCCTTCTCCATAGTCTGTTTTATTTTCCCCTGCAAGATAAAAAGGGTGGATGAATCGGAACTCAAAATAAAATGGCATCAGCTGTCATCAAATTAAAATAATATTAGACATTTCATGGTTGATTTGATGGGATAACATGAGCAGGCCAACATCAAAGGCCAGAGGCAGAGCCCAACCAATACATGAACCAGAATCAACCATCAATTTAATGGTAACAATTTTACAAAGATATTACTAACCTCAACACTATTTTGGATGTGATCAGAGACATCAAAGCCATCAGCAACACTTCGGTGATGATCATGAAGAAACTCGTTTACAAGAACTTCATTCTCTGCTACCAACTTTTCAGAGGACATGCCGAGCTGACTATCTGAACTGGTTTTAGTTGCAGAGAAGCTGGACTCTCCAGGGGAAGTATGTGTCTCCTTAAAAAGAGAGCGAACTACACGGCTTGTCTTATGATTACCCTCACCTGACATATTTCTTTCACTAGAGCTGGCAACAGTAGAAAGTGGAGTTGGGCTTGCAGGCATAGACGGATTCATGGGAGACCTTGAAGGGCTTCTGTCATCCTTTGCTCTAAAGTATCTAGATCTTGTTTCAGATAGTGCACATTCCATACGCTCAATCCCAGCATCTCCACTCAGGTGCTGCACTTTATCTCTCAAAAGTTTTTGATCTTCAGTGACCTGCATTAAATCCAAATAGAAGATAAGGCTAAAGCATACTTTACTGCATCTATAAGAAAGCAGTCAAGGGAAGAAACACACTCAATATTTGTACATATCTGACAATTTAAATATAACACAGTTTTTAAAGTCATTAAATGCTCCATAACATTGTAAAAAAAATGCTCAATGGTACCTACCATTCACAAAGAAATCACATATTTGACATGGAAAAATTACCTGATGCTGAATAGCTTTCATATCATGACTAAGCTTACCACCAGCTCCTTCTGGAGTTAACTTGCAAGTTTGAATCATTGAAGCTTCAAGCTGGCAAGCTGCTCTAACTAAATCCTCCTCTAGTGATCGAGCATCCTTAACCTTCCAGACCACAAAACAATTTAAGTATGAGCACCAAGCTTTATCAAAAGCAACAACCTGAGATCTGAAGGTACAGCACTTCATGACTGCTGAGACAGACTCTTCATCAGAGCTCTGTATTGGCCCATCTAATACAATCTTTATCAACAGCTCAAACATATGAACAAATTCTTGTGCAGATTTGGCCAGAGCAATCTCACGTTCACCCATCCCACTGAAAACTGCATCTGGATGACCCAATATCATATAAGCACAAAGAACAACCCTCACAGGATACCTTGATAACCTAGCTATGCTATTGTTTGACTCCCTGACTGAATCTACTTTCTTTGTCTCCCTCCTTCTCACAGAACTCCTGGGAGTACCCCGTTTCTTTGGGGAAGCAACTCGTTTAAGAAGGTGATCAATGTTATCCAAGCTAGACAAAGTATTAGTAGGAGCAATTGCTGTACGCACTTTTAGGCGGCTCTCAAACCTGTCAAGTAAAATTTTTACAGTCTGAAGAGTAGAAGCTGATTCAATCAGCAGAGCAAGCTGTTCAAATGGCATTGACTTGACAGATTTCTCATTGATCCCCAGTGCGTCATATGCTTTTGCCAAGGTAAAGGTTGTTCTTTTCTGCCTCAGGAACCGCCTCCAGCACCTTGAAAAAGGAAATGAGGTTAGGAGAAGTCCTATAGTAATATCTAGCAAAATGAGACTCAAATACATCCATTGTACTCTATTTTAAGGGGTAAATATGAGTTCAGCTGACAGAGGAACAAAATTTCATATATTAAATGTATCCCATATGAAATATATAGCTTATTAGCTCAGACCTCCTCCCAAATGACTACAACCAAGTAAAGCAGGGAAATTAGTAAAGCTTCTACATGTTGCAAAAGAGATATATCGATATTTAAATGCAAATAACCTTGCAAGTTTTCTGGAAAGATATTCTGCTTGTTTTGACATTCTATTCCGATTCTCTCGCACATAGCCACGCAATCTTCCCCTCTGCCTGAGATATTCAGCTCTCTGTCTTCTTGCCTAATTAATATAAATTTGAGACTTAATTAATTAAACAGGCACCATTAAGGCCACCAAATATAACCCGCTCCCCCACACCACCACCCAAAATAAAGGACAGCTACAAGCTAACACCATACCCTTTGCAATCGATCTTCCAACTCATCCTTCTTTTTCCTTCTTTCAATCTCACGCTGGTGTGATACAGACTTTGCCACATGCCTCACCTGCAAGACTCGAGCATGTGCCCTTTTCTTCTCAGCTTCCAGCAACCCAAGTCGTTTTGTTTCTGCAGCAGCCCGTTTTTGGTGAATTGCAGCACGTACACACTCCTTATATTTGCTCTCTCGAGCCATCCTTCTCATCAATGATTGAGATGATCTCTCTCTAAGAGAAGCCCTTCTTTGCCGGTGTGCCTTGAGGATAAGCATCCTATTAGCCTCTGCCTGCTGAACACGTGATTCAACTTTTGTTTCAAGCCTCACTCGTTCATTCTCATAGCGCATTTCAACTCCAGTTTTTGCTGCTTGACGCAATTCATCCAATCTTGCTAAGCGCATCTGGGCCTTTGTCAAGATGCTCATCCTGTCAAGAAGGCAGTAAATTATCTCAATTGTACAAATAAAACACAATAAATAAATAATTTAAAAAGAAATCGTTTTGGGGGCGTGAGAATCAAAATTATTTGAAATAGTTAAGGGAGGAAGCATAATCTTAGAATTTAGAAATAAACTTTCAATTACCAAAATGGAACAACTTATAAGCATAAGAATCAGACGTTAAATGAAGATCCTGTTAAACATTTAAATATCATATAATGAGATTATTATATATCAATCATAAATGAACATAAAATTCCAGAATTAAGTTTGTAGTGAAACAGAAAAGAACATAATTTTTAACTAGAGAGAGGAGTTGCTGATTTTTTTTATTTTTTTTTAATTATCCATAAATGCTACTCTCACAGTTTTAACTTAAAATTTACAAGATCAAATAATCCAAATGTTGCTGCTTTTAGTAGCAGACAAAAATCTGGTCAAGAAAGTTAAATTTTGTAAGCCAAGGAATTTACAAAACACAATTACGGGATTACAATATCGTAGGAAATCCCACCTCTTCTGTTCAGCAGCCTGAAGCTTTGCTTCTAGTCTCTGACCAAGATCATCCTCCTGAGATGAACACCTTGAGGGGCTTCTTGGCTTTGCACGTGCCTTGCTTGAGAGTTTCTCATAGTATTTCTGCAGTCAAGAGAAATTCAATATTGAAACTCTGATCAGAGGCACGAACATAGATAAAATAGAAATAAATAAGAATATTTGGATAAGTAAAAGCGGGAGAAAGAAATAGAGAACAGGACGTAAAAGAGGTGAAGAAACGCCAGCTACGCTCATGGGTTCCCCAAGTGTGACTGAAAAGGAAGGGCCAGAAGAGCATTCTTGGCGAATGAAATAAAAGATAATATGTAAAAGCATAATTTGGATTCCGACCAATACGAAGAACAAAAGTTAAAAGCTTGCAACTAATACATAGTACTAACCAAAACCAAAGTTATCAGAGAAAGAAACCATGTGAAAATTCCCAAAAGTACCACCACCAGGGGGTGCGGATCAACATTCGAATAAAAAAGAAGTAGCAGAAGCCTCTCCTATCCTACCTAACATAGACACAAACTTGAAGACAAAGCAAGATGGTCGAAGAACAATTAATCAACTGCGAAGTAGCAAACGAATCCCATCAACTCTTTCTGCAAGCCCATGCATCGGAATAAAAAAAATAAATTTGTGCATAAACCCAAAATTATATTAAAAAAATCCCAAAGAGATTAATCTCTAATCACTTAATTAATTAATTAAGTACACGTGGTTAATAGGCAAGGGAAAACCACTTGTAAATTCAATTCAAAGACCCTAAACTCTCTCACCAACCAAACAAACACACTGTTTTAGAACGGAAAATCGTAAGGACACCTGTCTGCGAAGATCAGCGTCGCGGAGCTTGGCTTCGATTTCCTCCACCGTGCTCGGGGACTTGCACTCGCCGTCAAGAAGCCGTCGTCGGAGCCTCTTCGGCAACCTCGGCGGCGTCGAGAAATATTCCTCGTCGCCGGCCGGAAATTCCATGGCAATTCCGCCCCCACCGCCGGCTCTCCCCTCCGGCAACTCCACTCCGGCCGCCATCTTCAAACAAATTTCTTCGTACCAGCGCGACGGCGTTGAATTCGTCCAAACGACGTCGTACCGTACGGACCACACAGCACACAAAAGAATCGCAACCACGAAATTATAACAATAATCGATGATCGGTGATATATAAACAACGTCGGAAATGGAAACAGTGAAATTCAAAACGATTCAAAAGAGAAACGTTGCGACGAGTGCACTCAGCTTCCAGAACTTGCTTTCGTTTTTGAGTTTTTAGAGAGAGAGAGAGAGAGAGTTTCTCACAAACGGAAATGTGAAGGGCGTGTTTGGGTTTATAATGGAATGGGTTTACAAGGCGTTTTGTCGTTTAACACTTTAACCAAGAGGATTAAGGAGGGTATTAGCCACGTCAGCAGGCCATCTCAACGGCACTCTCTTTTTTTGGACTTTAATGCCCCCGACCCTACCCCTTTTTGACTACATTGCCCCCCGGGCCCATCTCTATCTACTACCTTCTCGATTTGACACTTTTTCCCCCTATTTTCCTTTTAACTTAGAATCCCATTCACTTTTACTCGAAGTTCTGTTTCTATTCTTTTCTTCCATCGATTTATCATTTTTATAGGCATTGCTGAATCCAATTTTTCTATCACGAAATGTGTGGCTACATAAAGCCCATGAATCTTATCGTTTGCCTCAGAGATTGGTTTGCCAAAATTCCAACTTTGATGAAGAAGAATGTGTGCCTCAACTTTCATTTTACATTGTCCTTTGAAAAAACAAAGAAAAAGAAATTGCTGTATGGAAAGGGAAAATTGGACACGGTTTCAGTGAAGTTTGACAAAGGCTTCATTTCAAAGAAATAATTGAATCACACCGTATTTTCATCACTAGCTTTGCGCTTAGTAAGCAACATATTGACCAAATCAAGATTCATTCTCAAAAGTAAAGGTCTTATCAACGTGAACCCATGTGGCCATCTCGCATAATAATTGAAACAAAGCTACAAAGATAAGGGTGCTCAAACTAATCATGATCAATGCCTTTTGAGTAAGTTAGGATTAACTTTAAAAAAATCGTTCATGAGAAAGTTTGTAGGGTACCGTTTTGATGACGCTGAACGCTGAATACAAGTTATATGGCAGAAGTACACCCACCAAAGCAGACAAATTTAAATATATTAATATATAATGTAAGTGCTCAAGATACTATCACATAAGTTCCTTAACTCGATCAACATTTTATTTAAAATAATTTCATTATTAAAAAGGTTATTGCCTTTTAAACGAGGCTAATTAGCAAATGAAAGGGAACAAAAATGTCTTGATTTGTAAATTTTAGAAGAGCACGTTTTGCCGTTTATTGCTTTCGATTATATGTTTTTTTAAAGATTGCAATAGTATATAGATATTTTGTTGAATGGTTAATTAGTTATTAAGTTAGGTATTTTTTGCTTAGGTTCAAAGATAATTCCATTTACAAACTCCAGTCCAAAATTAGAAGATACATCTTACATCGGATATAAGGGGGGAAAAGGATTTATACGTAAACATGTATCGAATATTGAATGCGTATTTGTCTTTTGTATATACACATCTTACAATTGTGAGAGATTTTATTTTAAGATCTATTGTAAGAAAATTATATTATAAGATAAATGAACACAGATTTTGGGTTTCTATTTAGAAGGAATGACATGTTTAATTTTCTATGTTGTTGATAAAATCTTATGGGGTAAATATTATATAAAAAACAAAACACCGTTTTCAATATAATTAAAGAGATGAAACTAAAAATAACATATTCTAATTATTTATCCAAGTAGTACTTTGGTGAACACGCATCAAACTGCATTTTTTAAATATAAAATTAAAAAAGAATAGTGTGTTAAAAATTATGAGCTGTCTTTCGTTTATCATTTAAGTATTATATTAACATCACAATGCTCAGTTAATTGGAGTAAATTCACTTAATTGACTTTTTATTCATAATAATTATCTAATTTAAGTTCGAAAATCTACGAACCCGTTAGTTAGTAATTTATAGTAAATGTTTTTTCAAGTTTGTAATCAACCATACTTTTCGACATCGTAATTTTTAGCACAGGATCTTGTCGTTGAAATCAGCAAGTGAGAGTGAAAATCAAAAGCCTTAAAACTATGTAATATACTGTTTTTAAATTTTATTTTATTTTTTTACATTGGTAACTTGTGAAGAAAATTCGGGATTTAATAAGTTTGTTTGAGAAATTTTCCAATCACACGTAATAGTAACACAATTTGAATAAAAATAGAATGAGATAAAAGTATTTTTAAAATTAGGTAAAATTATATATTAAATATCTATAATTAATATCTATTTATAAATTAGTTTTTATATTTTAAAAAATTATGTTTTAATTTTTTTTATATTTTAGTCCAATAATTATTGTTTTGATCCCATAATTTAATAGTATTATTCGTGTGTTCAAACTTAAAAAAAATAAATTCAAATCGCTAAATTAATTCAAAAAAATTTAAAACTAATTAAATCTAAAATACATTTTTTTCTAATCAACGGAGTCCAAGACCCAATATTTTATATTGCATTTCAGTTCACTTTTTAATCACATTCTTAAAATAAATTAAATTAAACAAAATTACATTTATAATAAATTATATCATTTTTTATTATACTTTTATATAAATTATATTTATTTACTAAATTTTATCATAACATTGTATAAATATATAATCAATCACTTTTATTTACTTTAAATTCTATTTTTAATTGAATATTTTTTCTCTATTTATAATTTTATCTTTTTAATTATCATTTTTTTTTCAAAAAACTCATTTTAATTTCTGAGCTACTGCTTATTCTAAATTTAAAAATAAATTAAAAGTTATACAATAATAAATAAAATTAAGAAAATGATTAATAATCAATAAAAACTAAAAAAGTTCATCCAAACTAAACTAATATTTTGCAGTTCAATTTGGTTTGATTTTCAAATTATATTCAAATTAAACTAAAATCAAATCACAAAAATTCCTAAACTGAAGGGATCAAAATGTAATAAAATATTTTTTATAAGGACAAAAATATAAATTTTTTAAGTATAAGGATTAATTTATAAATAAATGTTAACTAAAAAAATTAAATGTATATTTTAACCAAAAATAAAAATATTTTTAATGAACTTGTCTAGAAAAAATAAAATAAAAGAATTATAAATTTTAAAAATTTAAAACTCATATATTTAAGTTAAATATCATTATTTACAGTTCACAATCATAAATATTTATTAAAAGTAAACTCATAAATCAGTCTATTAGATAATAATAATTGTGCATATTAGTCATTTATTTAAATCGTCTCATTAGTTCCTCACATAATAAGTCATCACATAATTTGGTCTTCACTGTTAAAGGATATTTGAAAAACATTAATTTTTATTGTTAAGTGACAAATAAATGGTAAGATGTCATCACCTCTTTCTTTACTCCTTTCATCGAAGCTACACCACTATAACTTAGTTTCTCACGGTAGTCCACAATTCTATCCCACAACTACTAGGGTTTAACATTGGTTTACCAATCAAAATGGAGATGGTTCTTCTAAGTTGGGTTCAAATTCTCACTTTTGAATTGACTTGATCTATACTAGTTACATCTTCCATTGGCAAACATCACTACTTATGAATTGAGTTACATCTTTACTTCTCTTTCTTTTCTAGTCTTTTCAAAAGGTAGAGGTGAACTTGAATGGATACGTCAAAGATAATTTGAGTGAGGTTAAAATTGGTGGATTCATTAGAATGATTGTAGTTGATGGCTTTTATTTATGACTTAGAAATTTGTACAAATGTTACAAAGAGTATGAAAATTATAAATTATGGTTTGTAAAGTGGATGATCCAACTAGAATAAATTTTTTTTACCATGGCTATTCATCCTTATGGTTGTGGCTTCTTTGTCTTTTTTTTCTTTTTCCTTCTAAATTAATAGTGAAGTAGGAAGCATAAAGAAAGAATGAGAGTGAGTATAGTTGAGAGAAAGGTAAGAGTGACTAAGAATGTTGTGATTAGAAGAAAGAAACAACGATAAATATGAGAACAGTAACAATTGTGTAAAATAATGTCATTAACATTTATAGATTAGATTAATATAACAATTTAAATAAGTTATAAACTAATATACAAGTCTCTTACTATTTGATGGACTAATTTATAAGTTTATTTTATTTATTAATATATAAGTATTTGATTTAATGAATACATAGATCATAAAAAAATTATAATTATAATTAATAAAATTCTAAAAATAAATTATATATGACAAAATTTTGTATTATACATACATACACACACACACACATATATATATATATATATATATATATATATATATTGTAGATAAAATATCTGTCACATAATTCCATAAAAATTAACTAATAAAATTTTGAATTTATTTAGTAAAAACTACTTACTTATGCCATCATAAAATAAATTTAAATTCACTTAAATTCTTTAAAATTTTGAGTAATAAAATAATTTTATATTTTAATTATAATAAATATTTATTTTATAAAAATATTTTTTAAGTATTTTATAGAAATTAGTATATCATATAAAAATATATTATATATAAATTAAGATAATTATATGTTATTTTTTTAAAAAATGTTAATATTGATATTTTAATTATTTCTTTAAATATAAGATAAAATATATAAAATTAAATAACCTTCATTATTAATTAATAATTAAGTGTTATAAAAATAAGTTTGAGTTATAATATAAATCTTTTATCAACTAAATTTGATAGTATGTATTCTTTTAAAATTATAATGATTTAAAATACACATTTATTTTCTATATTTAAAATATTTACAAATTAATTCATATACATAAAAAATTACTTTTTAATACTTATATGAGTAATTTATTATATTTTAATTTTATCTATCGGTAACGATATTATAATGAGACAAAACAATTGTATAAATATTAAAATGTAGTTTTTATAAATATAAAAATTAATTTATATATAAGTATTAATTATAGAAATTAAATATATAATTTAAATTTTAAAAGTATGTTTGTTTGGTTAAAATAAGTTCATGATTTCTCTTTTTTTTTTTCATTTTCATTTGATACAGTAGACAATTTTTTTAAACTTTTCCAACAGCAAAAAGGTAAGAAAAAATTTATTTTTCTTTCATAAAAAAAAGTGTGTACTTTAACAGTTTTAGTTTTATTTTTTGTTTTCTTTTTTAAAAACCAGAAGAAAAATGAAATGTAGCTTCTTCTTTTTTTGACTAACT